ATGTCTTGGAAGAAACATCGCACAGATAGAGTTCAGTACTAGTCATGGTTTCAGGCATCCACGGGGGGTCTTGGAACGTATGCCCCATGGATGGAGGGCGAACTGTATACGTTTGCCGTTGTTGAATGATTACCTACAGGTCCTTTGCCAGAACTTCCATCTGGGACAGGCCTGATTTAAAGCATTCTGTCCCGTGGCCCTTGCAAGTTTCCTTGACACCCGTCTGATGACATTCCTGTTCTGGTGTGGGAACTGCGGGCTCCAGCATTTGCCACTCGCCCTGATCTGTCAGCTCCTGTAAGGCGGGACCGCTCTACCTCTGCTGGGCCCCTGCACATGCTGTTGTTTAGTATGTGTCCACGGAAGGAAGGCGCCGACACAGTGAAAGGGCTGCGCGTGGCTACAGGGCTTGGTAGTTCACCTCCCTGCCTGGGGCTCATTAATCCAACATTGTCTTAGGCTGTCAGGCTGCAGGCCTGGGAGAGGGAGTTTAGGCTCCTCTGGCATTTCATCTGGGCTCTTTGCCATCAGGCTTTTCCCTGGAGAAAGGAGGGGCCCCGGGAGGAGCCAGCAGGCAGGGTACACGGCAGGGATGGGGTCAGTGTGTCAGTGCAGGTGTGGGGCACGGAGCCAAGGCTTGCTCATCCAGGGGGGTGGTGCAGACACCGCGCTATGAGCAGTCTCCGAAGTTAATCCTGCCGCTTTCCCCTCGGAGATAGGCCTCTCCCCACTCCCAGATCAGCTGCTCTGGGGCTGGGGTGGAGAGCCTTGCCCTCTTGAGGTTCCCCAGCACGTTCATGCTTGGGGTGCACGTGCACCGGAAGCAGTGCAGGTTCGTGAGAATTGCTCCGTTCTGAGGCTGCGCTGCTGGATTTCAACCCTCCTCTGTCCCTCCCTCCCAGCCCAACCCTGGGCTCATTGACCCTGGCCTGGTTGTTTATCTTCTCTGGATCTCATTGTAAAATGGAGCCTCATAATGGCATCTCCCTCCTAAAGCTGTTGTGAGGATTCGATGAGCTACCACAGGTAAGACTCCTCACGCAGCGTCCCGCACATAGTAGCGACTCAAGAAACGTTAGCCACTGTCATTGCATTTGGTGTGTGCCCCCTCGTGAACGGATGATTTCTAGAGAAAGTTCGGTCTTCCTGCAGGCTTTGGGTTCTTCTTCTTCCTCACTGAGGGAGTTCTTGGGGTTTTGATGGCCTCAGTCTCTTGCTATAATACCATCTGTATATTCCAGTGATGCCCTATCTGTGTATAGAAGTTATAGGGCAAGTTCTCTCTTTACCAGGCAGCCTTAGTCACATCGGCCTAGCATTGAATTGCTAGATTAAAAAAATTTTCCTTTTATTGATTTCAGAGTGTAAGGGAGAGATAGAAACATCAGTGATGAGAGAGAATCATTGATGGGCTGCCTCCTGCATGCCCTCCACTGGGGATCAAACCCCTAACCTGGGCATGTGCCCCAACCGGGAATGGAACCGACAACCTTTCGGTGCACGGGACGACGCGCAACCAACTGAGCCACACTGGCCAGGGCCAAGGTGTTCTTCTTTATTTATTTTCAAATCGTGGCTCCAATCTTGAATGATTTTTATAGAAAGGGACAGTTAGGCAAGAATAATCCAAGAGGACTAGGTTCTTGGCCAAGATGACTCTTGGGTCACCTGGAACAAGCAGCTGCAGCTACGTGGAGAAATGACGGATGATCAGAAACAGTGAGGCAGGTAGGACCTGGGCTGAGCAGTGAGCACATTCTCGAGGCGGGAAGAGCCAGAGCAGTTTTCATTTATGGAGGCGAGAGCCTGCGCTGAAGAGGTTAATGCAGTCTGAGTGCATCTGAGTTCACTCCGGAGGGTGGAGGCATTCGGTGCCACCAATGGCCCCGCACACTGCCTGCAGGCGCTCACGGCACTGTGGCCCAGCGAGTCACTGAGTCACCGGGGGAAGAGGGACAAGCAGAGCCTCTGACCCCAAACAGCTGCATCTTGCCACAGTGAAGGAACTGGCTACCCTAGGACAGTTGCTCTCAGCTACACCCTGACCCTCAGGACATTTGCCGGCTCTCTCCTTGTTCCTCTTGTTTGATCCAGGGAAACTGGGATTTCTTAATGGAAAGAACAGGTTGCTCCTGGCCAGGAATGGCCTGCAGCTGCTCGTCTTTGCTCCACAGAGAGTCCACCCTCCCTGAGAGGAAGGAGGCTGGAAGGAGGCTTCTGGCCGGGCCACTGAGCCCCAGGGGCTGCCTAGACTCAGGCTGAGCTCCCCACCTGCTCTAGTCATTTCTGTGAGCAAAGGGGAACAGGACCCTGAACTTGCACCTGAGTGACCTTCACTTTCTGTGAGTTTGTTTTACTCTAACCCCACATGGGTCAGTAGACAAGATGATCCTCCTTATTTTCCATTCTGAAGGTAGACCAGTCTCTGTGTCCCTTTACAGCCCAGAAGGCCAGATGGGGCTGAGCATCTGGGATCGGGGAGGGGGCAGAGGTGCAAGGCCACGGTACAGTCTTGGTTCAAGGTGACAATAGGCCCTTCCTCAGCGTTGGAAGCTGAGGCCCGGAGGAGAGCAGTGACTTGCCCAACGTCACACATGTACTTGGGGCTGGGACCAGGACCAGAATCTAGGCCTCACAGTCCTGTGTCCTCTCTCTCACATAGGCCAACAGGGAGTGTTCATGGTGCCCCAGGGCCAAGTAACATGCTTGTCCTACAGGCTCTGACCATCAGGCTAGACTTTTCCAGGGCTACCGCCTTAGGGGATCCTGCACTCTAGTGTCCAGGGACATATGGGCCCCATCGCCCAACCGCCTTCGTTGTGCCCCTGCATGAACCTTCGTTCCCCTCTCCTCACGGTGGGCCCTTAGCTGCATCACAAGCAGGTCCATAGGACTCACTGCTGTTCCCCAGCAGTCAGATTCCCTAAACTGCTGGTCAAGTGCACTCCCCCCCCTCCCAAGCTTTGGCAGCGGTTGTCTTTAGGTTTCAGAATCCCGGGGAAGGAGACCTTTCTGAGCTTTGGAGAGGGAAGGGTAGTTGGAAAAGAAGGGAGTTTGAAGTTCGCCCGTGGGGCTCCCAGAAGTGGAGGGAGGGCCACACGCCAGCACAGGACAGCAGCTCGAGGGTGCCCAGGCGTTTTGCCCGTCCTTGACCGTGGGCTCAGTCTGATGACCCTGGCGGTTCTCTGGCCGGATAACCTCGCTCATGAGGAGGTGTGACTCTCACCTGACCATGGGAAGCCAAGTTCCACTGCTCAGGTGGTAACCTTCTGAGGGCTTTGGATCAAATTTTGCTGATCTTCTGAACCATGACCCCCTTTCTTCCTCTACCCCCTGACCTCACTAACTGGGTTGCCCACCTTTTCCCCAAGTCAGCACGCACTTGCACATGCACGCACACAGCCCTTAAGAGAAGGAAGCCAACAGCTGTGTGTGTGTGTGTGTGTGTGTTTCTGTAAACACCTGGGCTCCCAGAGGAGAACATGCACAGCTCTTTCTCTGGAGGGTTCACACAGGAGGCACCAGGCAGTTGGCTGTGAAGTCTGGAAATAGTGCTGACTGTTACCGACCTCAAGGGCACATTTTTGCCTGAGACTTGAACCTCTCCAAGCTTCAGCTTCCTGTCTGCAGAAGGTGACAGTAGTCTTTATTCCAGTGGGATGTGGTGACGATTCAGCAGGGTCACGTGTGAGAAGTGCACGCACAGTGTCAGCATTTGATAAATCATCACCGCGATGAACTATGATCATGACTCTCAGCTTCCGCCTTTGACAAATAGGCATATCATATAACTGCCTCCTAAGACTGTTGTGGGGATGTAATAGTTTCCTGTCAGCTGTAAAGTGCCCTCCACAGGAAAGGCAAAGATGGAGAGAGGAGAAAGCCAGCATCACTGGTCAACAGTGTCTTCTCAAGAGGAGCAGAATGGCCTGGCCAGTGTGGGTTAGTGGTTGAGAGTCAACCTATGAACCAGGAGGTCAGGGTTCGATTCCTGGTCAGGGCACATGCCTGGGATGCTGACTTCATCCCCAGTAGGGGGCGTGCCAATCAATGATTCTCTTTCATCATTGATGTGTCTCTTTCTCCCTCCCTCTTTCTCTGAAATCAATAAATATATATATAAAAGAGGAGTACAATGTGTGCAAGTGTCTTATTCTAGCTCCAGGTCCTGGGCTTTGCAGTATCTAGATGCATCGCTGGCCCATACTGTTTAATAGGTTCTTTGAGGTAGCCACCCAGGACTTCCATATCCCAGGAAGTGCCTCCTGTCAGGGGTGCTGCTAGAAGCCCTACTTCCAGTTGCAAGTTACCTTTCAGTACAAAAAGAGGGACCTTCCTGCTTAGGTCACAATCCACTTAATTTGTTTTCCTTCCTAGCAGCCATTGGGCCCACGGTCCCCCTGAGCTTCCATAGCAAGTGAGCTGTGTCTGGACAGAGGCTTGGGCCCAACTCACTCTGCCTCCTCCCAACCCAAGGAGGCCGGGTGGCAGTCATGGGTGGGCCCTTGGCCAGTGACCCTTTGGCTGAGAGTCTGAGCTTAATTCATGGTTGTCCAAAAGCAGCCACTCAGCCAAGATCAAGGCTGCACATAGCTGACTGAATGGACACTGTGCTTGCCTTCCACCCCCGCCTGCCTCTGTTAGGCACAAGCAGAGAGTCGCCCAGCTGTGGGAGTCACTATTTTCTGGTCTGGAAGGCCGACTCTATATAAAGCAGTGGCCCTGTAGTTTAATTTGGTACCTCCTCATTTCCTCCCACAGGACCTCCCAGCAGAGGACTTGTGAGCCACAGAGCTGTCTTCCGAGGCCTCCTCCCTCAGCCTGGGTCAATCCCATGAATAGCCAGCCCCACAGCCCCCTGGGAAAGGGCCTGGCTGAAAAGGTGCTGCACCCGGTTAGGCTTGGAATGGGAGCGAGCTGGAATGCTCTTTCTCCTCTCAGGTCTGCCTGTTACTACTGTCTCTAACCTCTGGCTGGCTTCTGCTTCCCTTGCTCGGCAGGACCTGTGTGGAGCCACCACCTGTGACACGCTGGGCATGGCTGACGTGGGCACCATGTGCGACCCCAAGAGAAGCTGTTCTGTGATCGAGGACGATGGGCTCCCGTCAGCCTTCACCACTGCCCACGAGCTGGGTGAGGTTGGAGGGGGCTCTCGGGTGGGGTGGGAGAGCTCCCCTCGGGGGTCTCTCTGGGTTCCCTGGGTGCTTGGTAGGGAGACACATGGGCATGTCTGTGCTTCCTCATGGCCCGAAGCCTTAGGGATCCTCTCTCAGGGCTGGTGTCTTCCCTAGCAATGGCTTTGTTTGATTGTCTCTGCTTGCCCCAGCTCAGTTGGCCAGTGATATTGTCCAAGAACGTCAGCCATCAGCGTGTCTCATCAACCAGGCACTAAGGGGAAAGTATGTTCAATACACTGCTGTCCTCACTGAGCCCGCAGCCTTCTAGATGGGACAGGGGACACAGGAACATGATGTTGGGGACATCTGCTAAGCAATCCATCAATACATAGAAATGACCAGCCTGATTGACCCGGCTCTCTAGCTTCCCCAACTGGTCCTCCTGCTCCCACCTCTCCCCATTGCCTCCTAACTACACAGCCACTGAGCCTTCTTGCCTCACCCCATAGGCCATGTGTTCAACATGCCCCATGACAACGTGAAAGTGTGTGAGGAGGTGTTCGGGAAACTCCGGGCCAACCACATGATGTCCCCAACGCTCATCCAGATCGACCGTGCCAACCCCTGGTCAGCCTGCAGCGCTGCCATCATCACCGACTTCCTGGACAGTGGGCACGGTAAGCCAGGGCGACCCAGCAGGAGCGTCAGTCTGCCACTGTTGGCGGTACCCGCCACCTCTCTGGACCTGTCCTCTGTTACCCAAGGCGTGCATGACCCTGAAGAGGTGGGCTCTGAAGAGGGTCTGCCCATTCCATTGCCCCTTGCTTCATTCTCTCCCTACCCTTCAGATACTGGTTAGCCACGCCCCACCTTCCCCAGCTCATCCCTCATGCATGCCCTTGGCTCTCTGCAGGAGACTGCCTCCTGGACCAGCCCAGCAAGCCCATCGCCCTGCCCGAGGACCTGCCGGGGGCCAGCTACACCCTGAGCCAGCAGTGCGAGCTGGCCTTCGGTGTGGGCTCCAAGCCCTGTCCCTACATGCAGTACTGCACCAAACTGTGGTGCACCGGCAAGGCCAAGGGGCAGATGGTGTGCCAGACCCGCCACTTCCCCTGGGCAGATGGCACCAGCTGCGGCGAGGGCAAGTTCTGCCTCAAGGGGACCTGCGTGGAGAGACACAACCTCAATAAGTACAGGGTGAGCGTGCTGGAGGGGAGTTGACCCTGGTGGTCTCATCCCAGCTTTGCTATGGGACCATAACTCTGTTGCCTTGCCGTGCTGTGCCTCGATTTCCCTGTCTGTGGTTCTATTACCTTCTTGACTCTAAGACTGGAGAGAAAAGATATGGTAGGTCTAAGGCAGGTGGGCAAAGCCCTTCACCCGGAGTGAGGGGTCCCCGTACCGAGCTCTGCACCTCATCCGACCTGGGAGCTCTGGACCAAAGCTGAACACTTGATATTTGAGTGGCTCATTCTTTGGTTCCTTCCTTCCTTTCTTCCCTCATCAGCTCTCTCTGAGTGTGTTCCATGTTCAGGGAGCTGTGGGCCAGAGGTGAGCAAGGCTCCGAGCTGAAAGGAAGCCGACCGCTGGGCAAGCCTCCATATTTGCCGCACCCTGAGCCAAGCATCAGTTTCTGTTGTGGTTGATGGTCTTTGAGGCCAAACCACAATGGGAGAAACTTTATTTTTCCTGATAAGCAGGAATAGGGATCAAACCAGAACACATTCAAAACCCCAGATAGTCTCTGAATATAGTAAACACTTTCTCCAGGTCCTGGGTTGGGACGGTGAAGGGATTTGTACGTTCCCAGGCAGGAATAAGAAGTCCCTCTGCTCCCTCGATCCTGGGGGAGGATCATCGCCTCCCCACCCCGGCCGGGCCGCAGGAGGGCTTGGCTTGGGGTTGTGTGTACACCGCAGCAATATAATGAAAAAGCACTCACCAAGCACGTTAGCAATTGCCCTGAGATGGGTGTGGTACGGAATTATGTAAAATCTTTTTCTGTGTTCTGGGAATATATACTTAATTAAACTTTAGCCGTTTATTAGGCAACAACCCCTTGTGTTCAGGGGACTGTGTGTAAGACACAGTGGTGGCCAGAAAAACAAATAAAAATGGGCCATGTCTCAGAGGGCTCACAGGCCGGTGGGGAAGCTGGTAATGGAACTGTAACACTAGACACAGGGAGGTGTGAGTTACGTGTTAAGGCAGAAGCATGAAAGTGTGTCATGGGAGATCGTGATGAGAGTTTGATGATCATGAGAGGGGTCTGAAAAAACTTGGATGAGGGGGTCAGATTTGAAGAGAGCCTTGAGGGGTGAGTAGGGCCAGAGGGAGCAGAGATGAGTGACGTCAGGGAGGCGGGGCCAGCTGGAGCGTTGGGTGGATGAGGGCTCTATCAGAATCAGCTTTGGGCAGATGGTTTGGGGCTGGATTGCAGTTGTCTTGACCACCAGGCTGATGCTTTTAGACTAAAAGGTCCTGGCCAGCTCCTGCTCCTGAGGATGAGATGAGTCAGGAGGATAAAGAAGATAATAACTTCTTAAGGATATTAGATATAGGAAGTGTGATCTGAGAGGCACCATCTTTTCCCCATGCTTTCTGGAATTCTCAGCCCATCAGCTGCAAAATCCACTACGTCAGTGGTTCTCAACCTTGGCTGCCCATTAGAATCACCTGGGAATCTTTTTAAAATCCTGATTTCTGGGCCTCATCCTCCAGAAATTCTGTTTCTTTGTTACTAATGTTGTGGCCCCACCCCATAACAAAGAAACAGAATTTCTGGAGGATGAGGCCCAGAAATCAGGATTTTAAAAAGATTCCCAGGTGATTCTAATGGGCAGCCAAGGTTGAGAACCACTGCACTACATCCTCAACCTCTTTTCTGAACAATCTCTTCACCTGTTTCAACTGAAGCCTAGCCCTCCACCTGGGACACTGTTACTCCTTTTCTCCCAAGACCTTCAGGGCTCAGTCCCCAGCCCTCCTCACTCCTCCCGCTAACTTCTTAGGTGATTCATCTCAACCACTGGCTGGAAACACTATATTTCTGTGTCAAAGACTCCCAAATTGGTACCTCCAGCACAGACCTGCCTCCTGAACTACAGACCTGAATGCCCCACCCAATCTTGATATCTCCGGGTGGGGAACTCATACACAGTGTAGACTTAACATCAGGGAAGCCGCGTTCCCCATCAGCTCCCCTAAACCTGCCTTTGGGGACTCCATCTTCCCGTTGATCACACCAACACTGTTTTTCTCTCACTTCACATCCAATACCTCAGCCGTTCCTGTGGACTCTATTTCCAAAATAGAGCCAGGAGCCAGCCATTGCTCAGCACCTCACCTGCTGTAACCCTGGTCCAAGCCTCCGTCACGTCTTCCTTGGGTTATTGTGGTTGCTCCCTGACCGACCTTTTTACAGACTGTTTCCATCAGAGCAGCCAGAGGAGCCTTTAAGTGTGAGCCAGGTCATGCCCCTCCCGGCTTTACTCGTCTCTTAGAACGAATGAGCCCCAACTCTCTTCCTCTCCTTCTCTCGCTCTTTGACCCTGGAGCACTCTGGGTACCTGCCTCCTCCAGGTCTTCGTATTTGCTCCCTCTGTGTGGAGTGGCCTTTCCCTAACCCCTGCACAGCTCATTCCTGTACTTCCCTTTAGGCCTCTGCAAAAATGTCACCTCAGTAGTGATGCCTCTGAGACCCCTTATAATACAGAGCACCCCAATTCTCTGAGGCCCTTCCCATCTCTCTTTCTCCCACCTGCTTTGAACCCCATCTGACCCTATGCACAGGCTTTTTATGTTTTACTTTTTTTATTTTTATTGATTTCAGAGAGGAAGGGAGAAGGAGAGAGAGATAGAAACATCAGTGATGAGAGAGAATCATTGATGGGCTGCCTCCTGCACACCCACACTGGGGATCGAGCCTGCAACCCGGGCATGTGATCTGGCCAGGAATCGAACCATGACCTCTTGGTTCCTAGATTGACACTCAACCACTGAGCCATGCTGGCCGGGCAGCACAGGCTTATTGTACTGTTCACCTTGCCCTGCTTGGATGCAGTCGCTTTGAGGGCAAGGATTTGGAGCCAGGCAGGTTGTAGGAACTCAATGGATATTTGGTGAAAGAACGAATGATGGCACATGAGAGGAGCACGATGAATGTTTCCTGTGGAAACCAGTAGGAAGAAGTGGTGCCAGGTGAAAAACCATAGCATCGTCTCAGAAGTCATGGGACCAATGCTAAATAACTGCAGAAAAACTAGAGATGGCCCTAGCCGGTTTGGCTCACTGGATAGAGCATTGCCCTGCAGACTGAAAGGTCCCAGATTCTTGCAGAAAAACTAGAGATGGCCCTAGCCGGTTTGGCTCACTGGATAGAGCATTGCCCTGCAGACTGAAAGGTCCCAGATTCTTGCAGAAAAACTAGAGATGGCCCTAGCCGGTTTGGCTCACTGGATAGAGCATTGCCCTGCAATTTTATAAAACACACCCCCCCCTCCCCCACACACACACACAACAACACACACACACACACACACACACACATATATTAAAGACGGCAAGGCCTAGCCACAGGCTATTTCAGTCTTTATTTTTTTTAAATATATTTTTAATGATTTCAGAGAGGAAGGAAGAGGGAGAGAGAGAGATAGAAACATCCGTGATGAGAGAGAATCATGGTGGATCGGCTGCCTCCTACAAATCCCCCACTGGGGATCGAGCCCACAACCCGGGCGTGTGCCCTTGACCGGAATCGAACCTGGGACCTTTCAGTTCACAGGCCGATGCTCTATCCACTGAGCCAAACCAGCTAGGGCAGTTTCAGTCTTTAGAGGTCGTTGTTGATTGGGAGCGGCTTCCCTGGTGCAATGAGACCCACGTTGCCAGCACAGAGCGGGGAGGAGGGAGAAAGAGCAGACGCAGAGGACTGTCTTAGAAATAAAAGGCTGGAATGAGGTGGGGCTCCCGTTTGAGGAGAAAGCAGGCCCCAGGGAAAGTGTTTTTTACAGGATGGAACCGCTACATTGACACAATGAAGCCAGAACTCTCTGACAGAAGGACAGATACGCTGAATCTATGAATATAAATTAAAGTTCTTCTGTTGCATGCGGCCAGTTCCCCATGAGCTCCATGTGGATTAGTGGTTTTAGGATGATGTGTGACAGCGTTTTAATCCCAGGCTTGTTTCTCAGGGCCGATTCCTTTATTGCCCAACTGATGTGCGCTTGGGGGATACAAACTCACTTTACTGTCATCATAAGGAAAACATCCCGAAAGCCATAAATTTTCTCTCCCCTCTCCACCCTCTTAAAAAATAAGACAACACTGCATAATTCAGCCTAGAGCCAAGTCAAGTTGTAAGATTGCTTCATAGTCTCTTATGTGTATCTTCTCTTAACACAAACATCAGAGCTGCTAATAGTGAAACTTCTTCAAATTCAGCCCCCAAGTGAGGTTAAGATCAGTCTGGTTTTGTGAAAAGTCCGCATTAGTAAACATGTACAGATAAAAAATATCCAGATATCTGTGGTTTACTGGCAACAGCTGCGGACTGGCCATGCCTTTGATTTAGAGACATAAATACGCTAACAATAGGTAAGGAGACACTTTGAACTCCTGCACGATGGCAAGCACAGTGCCAGGAATATTCATACACGTTGCATCATTTAAATCTTCTGTGTGACCACACGCCTGCATATCATGGGCCCTGTTTTTGCAGATGAAGGACCTGAGACTTGGAAGTTTTCCCGACTTGCCCTTGACCACAGCTGTGGTGAGGACAGAGGAGGCTGTAGAATTGGGCTTAATTCGGAGGGAGGGGATCAGGGAGGTTGTACCAGTGTTGCTTTCTTGTGGGCTCAGGGTGTGGGTGTGGCACCCCAACCCCTGCAGGGGCGTAACAGACTCTTCTTCACAGGTGGACGGCTCCTGGGCCAAATGGGAGCCCTACGGCCCCTGCTCTCGCACCTGTGGCGGGGGAGTGCAGCTGGCCAGGAGGCAGTGCAGCAACCCCACCCCAGCCAATGGGGGCAAGTACTGCGAGGGAGTGAGGGTGAAGTACCGATCCTGCAACCTGGAGCCCTGCCCCAGCTCAGGTGAGGAGGGAGGGCAGTGGTGGCCTGGGCCTGGGGGGGGAGGATGAGCTCTTGGGGGGAGTAAGTAGAGAGAAAGGGAGAGGAGAGCCAGCCCCAGAACGGATGTGTAAATATGCATTTCAGGAGCAGGAGACTGCAGATCGCCAGGGAAGCAAGAGGAATTCTACTCTCTGACAGCTTTCCTGTCAGATAAGTTAGATGAGTATTAGGAAGGTTTTCACTTTCATGGGAGAGATCGTGAGTCTCAGAGAGGTCAAGAGATTATCCCACGTTCACCCAGTAAGTGATGGCAAGAGTTGCCCTGTGCTCCAGCCCAAGGCTCTCTGCCTTACATTTTTGTCACATGTTCTTTCTTGCAGGAACTAAGCGGCTCCTCCATGGCCCCTATCTTGACAGCAGTGCAATCTAAAACAGCTCCTCCCACGTTTAACAGGACCAATAAATTCACTGCCGGCTTCCAGAATATTGTAGATGCGTATGGTGTAGGCAATTACCGGGAGATGAACCCAGGTAAGGTGTCTGATACGTTACATGCCTGAGCAGCTTGAAAATGAAAATTGGGTAAGATTCACCCCCAAGGTGGCAACCTAGCAGGTGAATTACTTTAAACTGTGACTTTCCTAAAATCATATTTGTTTTTTTGAATGCTCTGCATCATCTTCTGTAAAGGTGATTAGTGAAAGATTTGTTCCTTGTCAAGATTTCACCTGTTCTCCCTTAAACCAGGGGTCCTCAAACTTTTTAAACAGGGGGCCAGTTCACTGTCCCTCAGACCGTTGGAGGGCCGGACTATAGTTTAAAAAAGAAAACTATGAACAAATTCCTATGCACACTGCACATATCTTATTTTGAAGTAAAAAAACAAAACGGGAACAAATACAATATTTGTATTTGCATGTGGCCTGTGGGCCGTAGTTTGAGGACCCCTGGCACAGAGGGTTAGAGTACCTGATACAATGGCTTTAAGGCCAGAGGAAGGTGGGAAGGTGGCCCAGAGCCTGGGAGATGCCTTATCATCAGTGTCCTGCATCCCTGGGCCCAGCCTCCTTTAGTCCTCTGAGATGGGGTGGCTTCAAGGCTGGGGATCACTCAGCTGAGGGTGGGGAAGAGCCCCAGGAGGGCTCTCTACTTCGCTCCCACCTTGGCCCCTCCCTTGAGCTTTCTGCACCTGCTTGCTCCCTCCCCAGCCTCTGGCAAGAGCTTCCGGGAGGAACAGTGCGAGGCCTTCAATGGCTACAACCACAGCACCAACCGGCTCACCCTCACCGTGTCGTGGGTGCCCAAGTACTCAGGGGTGTCTCCGCAGGACAAGTGCAAGCTCATCTGCCGAGCCAACGGCACCGGCTACTTCTACGTACTGGCACCCAAGGTGAGCGCCCTGGAGGCCAAGAGACCAGAGAAGGTTCAAGGCCTTCGGGGAAGCCTCCAGTTGACCTGTCCTTCTCTCCATTCCTCCCCCTTCTGGGGGCGCTGCAGGTGGTGGACGGTACGCTGTGTACCCCCGACTCGACCTCGGTCTGTGTCCAGGGCAAGTGCATCAAGGCTGGTTGCGACGGAAACCTGGGCTCCAAGAAGAAGTTCGACAAATGCGGGGTGTGCGGGGGAGACAATAAGAGCTGTAAGAAGGTGACAGGACTCTTCACCAAGCCCATGTGAGTGCTGGGCCCTGGAGGGCGTGGCCAGGGAGCAGGGGAGAGGAGGAGTGAGTGGCATAGCGCCCAGGCATGGGAAGCTTGAGTTCGATTGGGGTAAATGTCAGATCCGGCCAGTATCCTTGCTGTGGAGACCACTCACACTCTTCTATGAGTATGACATTCATTCATTCATTCATTCACTCATTCATTCAGCAAGCAAAGATGACTGCAAAGATGCATGCTCAAGGAGGACCCCCCTCAGCAGGAGATGCTGCTCAGGGGGATGGCAGAGAGTTGTTAGGGTCTGTCTAGAGTCCTAAGGTAGGACTGACCTGGGTTCACATTTCAGTCCCCAATATTCCCGATGACCTTGGGCAAGTGACACAGTCTCTAGAATAACATATCTCTTCCCTGATGAAGTGGGCATGTCCCGAATGTATTTCATGTAGTGCGAATGAAGGGAGTTCATCCAAGTGAGATGCTTAGCATAATACTTGGTGCTTAATGTTCATGACGATGATAGCAAAACGCAACTATACTGGAGGCCAAATGGGACAGCCTCCTCATGCCCGAGGCCCTGGCCTTGGGGACCGGATGGAGGTGAGAATGGCAGTTAACTGTAGAGACAGGCAGTGTGAGAGGCTGGGACTGAAGGAACCCCCCTCCTGGCAGACTTGTGCTGGGACCGGCGGAAGAAATGTCTCCGGGCCTCTTCTAGCCCCAACTCCGGAGCCTGCGGCTCCCTGGCCTGAGCTTTCTGAGGTCCAGCACCTTCCCTTTTATTTTCCAGAGGAATGTGCTCCTTCAAAAGTCCTGACCCATGTTCTGGGAGCAGCTGGGGCAGGCAGAGCCACTGGGGCCTCATTTGTGGGGCAGGTGTGGGTGGCCAGGAGCCTCGGCCGCCCCAGGACACAGGGCCTCTGCTGAGCTCTAGGTGGGCAACTTCTCTGGCAACCTGGACACTGCAGGCTGAGGGTGTCCTAGGCTGCCCTTCAGAGGGATCTGCAGCGGGGAGGCCCAGTGAGGAAGTACTGGTTACATGACAGGGGTTCCTTTCACAGACTAGGGGAGCTAGAAGGAACCGTTGCAATCTTCTAGTTGAACCTACTCATTGTATCGGAGAGGACACTGGAACCCAGAGAGACTGACTTTAAAGCCACCAGGGAGTTGGTGTCCCAGCCAACGCTTGATCTGGGTCCTACGCTCCAGGACCAGTGTGTACCTCTGCACTGAGGCCCAGCCTGGGACTCAGGGACTTATCGCCTCTCCCTCCCCGCTCCCTCCTCACTGGGTGCTTCCTCTGCTGTGGGTGCAGTAGCTAATTCCATCCTCATTACAATGCCACGTGCTACGTGTGACTATGGTCTCTGGGTGCGGAAACTGAGAAGCTAAGGAACTTATGTAAGGACAACAGTGAAGTGTGTGGTAGGGATCTCTCTGACCCCAACACTCCCGGTCTTACTCATATGCTGGAATTCACCAAAATATCATTGTATTGAAGTAGAAAGACTATCAGGCGATGCAGCCAGCATACTTAGTTTTAAATGACCTGAAGACAATCTCCCTTCCATCTTGCAGCTCGTGTGTGTCTCCAGGGCCCCTGAGCTGTGGCTGAGGCAGCCTGGTTGGTCTTGGTTCTTTGCCATCTTCATGACCTACCCCAGGCCTTGTTGTTCTATAGAACTTAAAAATTATATATATATATATTATTGATTTTAGAGAGGAAGGGAGAAGAAGAGAGAGATTGAAATATCAATGATGAGAGAGAATCATTGATCACCTGCCTCCTGCACACGCCACACTGGGGATTGAGCCCACAACCCGGGCATGTGCCCTGACCGGGAATCGAACCGTGACCTCCTGGTTCATGTGTCGATGCTCAACCACTGAGCCACACCGGCTGGGCCCACCCCAGGTTTCGTGAAAGGGGAATCTTTATGACGTTACCGGGATCTGGGTCTTTACCCCCAGGCATCTGTCTAATGCGCAACCCCCTCCCGCCACAGGCACGGCTACAATTTCGTGGTGGCCATTCCCGCCGGCGCCTCGAGCATTGACATCCGCCAGCGCGGCTACAGGGGGCTGATTGGCGATGAGAACTACCTGGCCCTGAAGAACAGCCAAGGCAAGTACCTGCTCAACGGGCACTTCGTGGTGTCACCCATGGAGCGGGACCTGGTGGTGAAGGGCAGCGTGCTGCGCTACAGTGGCACAGGCATGGCTGTGGAGAGCCTGCAGGCCTCCCGGCCCATCCTGGAGCCCCTGACCGTGGAGGTCCTCTCTGTGGGGAAGATGACGCCGCCACGGGTCCGCTATTCCTTCTATCTGCCCAAAGAGCCCCGGGAGGACAAGTCCTCGCACTCCAAGGACCCCCGGGGTCCCCCCGTGCTCCACAACAGCGTCCTCAGCCTCTCCAATCAAGTGGAGCAGCCGGATGACAGGCCCGCTGCGCGCTGGGTGGCGGGCAGCTGGGGGCCGTGCTC